GAATGCCAGACTAAGGTGGGTCTACGAAGGGCTGTCAGCATGTTATGGGTGCTAAAAAGTGAAACAAGAAATATAAAACTGTACAGAAGACCAAGGAAGAGCTGCAAGATTGAATTCAGAAGAAAAGGAGCACCAAGAAACCCCTGTGGTTAAAGTAGTTTACCACAAGTTCAGATGTTAACAGGTTTATGTGAAATCTGTTTATGATTTCCTAAAACATCACTAATCTAGGAATTCTGAACTATACACAAAGACAAGGCAAAACCCTCATGCCCCCGAAGTTAAGGATAAAACTCACATGGACTAAAGCAGGGCTAAGATTTCAGCCATAACAATCATGTGAATAAAAGGTGCTTTTGTTACACTTTTTATGTCTACTTTTCCCGTCTTTGTTATTATTCTATTCATTGGTAGGAGGCAAAAGCAATCCTGCTGGTATTCAGAAACATTATTTACAATTTACAAGAGAAAGCACAGGTCAGATTGTGGTAAATGTTTCAATTGATTTAGCCTGTTTTTCTATTTGCACAACTTCTTCAATAGTATTAATCATTCATGAGAGACTGCTAAACTCTTCTGAGGAACCATTTTCTAAGGATAGCTTATTTTCAACTACTTGTTTAGGTGGTGAACTTCTATCATGCAAGTTGATTGTCTAAGCCCTCCAAGCAATATGAATTGTTACTAGTTAGAAGTTTAAACAGCATATTGTTGAGTACCAAGTGGATACTAATAAATAACTAAAAAACATTTACGCTTTTAAGACCAATGAACAAATTCATGAGTGCCCAGGAACTGCCTGAATATTCACAAAGAATGGCTAAGCCTCGACAAATAAAGCAACCTGCATTTGGCATTTTCATTTGTAGAAGTATTTCTGAACCCACATTTGTTTGTTTGTACTTTTGCTACCATTTGCCAGCTCTATAAACAAAAGATGTTTCCCAGTGCTAACACTCAATTCATTTTACTGTTTGCATTTCAATAGTACCTAAAAACCCCCAACACAGACCATCAGCTAATACACTGCCCCCAAAAACTGAGTGTTTGCTCACCACTCTGATATATCTTAGTCTGCAGATTTTTTTAATATAGTATCTAATTTATGACAAAGAAAGTACATAAGCATTCACTAAACAGACACATAGCATTCAACCAATCATAACTGCTGAGTTTTTTAACTGCAGAAATCATGGCCTCTGTTTGTAAATTACCAAATCATATGAAACACCAAAAAACGTGAATGAGGTGATTATTTCTTCAGTATTCCTAAAGGAAAAAGTTTCCTTTAAAAGAATGAAAACCAGCCTTCTGATCTAAAGATAAAGCTGCTTCTCTCTTTAATAAACACAATAAAATGGTGCAGACATTTTTATTCCCTATAAAAATATTTTACAGTAGAATTTTTATACTTAATTTATTTCTAATAGCTTTACTGTTTTGTTCTTCCTTCTGGCTTTAAACTTTATGGCAAGTTTCATTTTGTAATTATAATTCTCCACTTTATATTACAAGTAAATCATTTAGAGCAGTTAATTTTACTGATGTCATTATATAAGAAGTTAGAAACAAACACATTATTTTAATTACTCTTTAAGCACTTGGCATCTTCAGCACATCGGTATGAAAGTAAGTTGTCGGATGGGTGCCCACACTATTTTATTTATTGATGTGATTTTTCCCTTGTATGTAGCTGTAATATAACTAACCAAACAGTATGTGTTGTACAGATACAGGCTTTGTATTTTCAACAGCTATTTATGTCAATAAGAAAGTGTACAATGCAAACAAACATTATTGAGATTGCAGAAAGTATCATCCTTGTAGCATCTCTTATTTTATTACCACTGCTTGTTGTTTATGTCTCTTTTTAATATGTAAGTATTACGTCTTAAAGTTATGCTAGCGGAGTGATCTTTCTCCCATCCTTTGACAAAGTACTTATACTTTTCAAATGGACTGATTTTGTATCATTATAGTAATTATTATTAGAAAGGCAGAAAAACTGTGTTCTTTGAATTATTTTTGAGTGGTCCATCAAATTCCACACTGACAAGGCAATAACAATTCAGAAGGCTGTGCTAGAGCAATAACAAAACTATAATACTTACATTTGCACATGTGGGGGCTGAAAACGTCCCTGGTTAATGTTGTAGAACGTGAAAGCTTGTGTGGGGTTAGAGCTGTACTCATCCACTTCAATTATGAGTCTACTGTGCTGATGCCTTCTAGCTGCCATAATGTGCGACTGGGAGAAAGCCATGCTTGCGCTGTGTAGTTGGCTTTTTCAGGCAATCATATCTGCTATCTTCCTACATCGACAGAAGAAGACCATGACATCTCCTTTCCTAATCAGCACACTCCCCTTTGAAAAACCTGAAAGCAGATTGAAGAGATGGAGCATAACTGTTTGACAGTTAATCTGTTTGGAATTTGCTTTATTTAATACGCAATGAAGATGAAGGGGGCATATGGAGGGATGAAGACACACAGCTCAAAGAACTCATCACAAACCTTTCCGACTCAGCAATTTGACAAACATACTTTAGTTGGGGGTGGGAAGCAGGAAGTAGAAGTAAACTTGCTCAAGAACACAGGGGCAACTTGCTCAAGTATTTCAGACATTTAATTCAAACCTAAAAGACAATGCAGTCATTCTTCAGAATGCCATGTCAAATAATAACGTTCCTTCAACACAACCATTTTCTTTCCTTCCTTTTTTTATTGCATTGCTGAATGTTTACTCCCCATCCTCCTTCAAAAAAGCCCCATCAAACCTGAAATTGAATACATGGCTGTGCACGACTAAAATGTGAATTAATTAACTAAGAATCAGTCTAACCAATTCTTCAGCAAGTCTGTGCCATTTATTTCAGGGAAGCATTGCAAGTGGTTGTTCTTTACATCCTAAGGGACAGAGCAAACGGCCTCCTGTGCACTTGCTCCTCATTTTATAGTATCCATGAAGGAACTCCTGACACAGACATAAAGGGCTCCCCCCTTCAAACACATTCTCTTCTCACTCAGCACTAGCTCACCCAACATTCTGGATTCACTGGAAAAGAAAGTGATTCAAAGGCTAGCACACAGTTAAATGTTATTAAATATTTTTAAAAAAGTAAAATCCATACAGGTTGATGTTTGGGAATAAATTTTTCCCTGAAGGTTATTCAAGTCTAAAACAGCAGCACTGAAAATGAGCAGAGGAATAGCAAAGTGAAACCAACTGTAATGCAAAGAGTATCCCCTAGAAACAGCAGAAAGTAATTTAAATGTGAATTTTACTTTTATTTCCCAGTTTTAATAAAAAATGGTTAATAAGCTATAAAGCTGGGTACTTCTACAGTATAATTCTGCATCTTTTTTAGAAGTTGTCTGCCTTAAATATTTACTTTCATGCAAGCGAGGGCTCTTTCTTCTAGGGAATATAAATAATCTGCTTCAGGAGATGTTTTTCATGAAAAGCCATTCTAGAATGCAGCAATTCACTTAATATGTGCAGTTTCTGGAAAGCAGGACTAGGAGCATTTTATGTGACCTTGGTGATATGCCTTACTTCCATTATGAAGGGACCACTGCCAAGAGTGATGGATGGGGAAGTTCTTCATAGTCACTCAAATTTTTAAAGCGATTTACAGGTACTTTGTTTCAATCCAATTCTAGTAGCAGTCAAGCACCTAAGCATCTTTAAAAATCTGGGCTTCAGTCCTTCGCTTAACTACTACAGATGTGAAGTGCTCCAAGAAGTGGCAGTGTATTTTTGTTTTGGGAAATCTTGTCCTTAGGAAACTGAAATGAGAGATTCAGCTCAGTTTTGTTACTTGCTGAATGGCTGTAAAATGACGACAACTTGCTGTCACTAACAACTTGCAGGAAAACAGTCTGAGAACTGAAAACTAGTCTCTCCTAGAACTGAGTGGCAAGGAAATGGTAGAATAACCACAAAGAAAATTTTGGATTTTAAACACTCTCAGCTGCCACGTTCAGGCTGCGGAACAAGCAGCAGCACAAAAGAATGTGCCGGAGCAGGGGGAGGGAAGGGAGGCACGAACCTTGTAAGAATAATCAAGTACAAATTGCTGCATTTAGGAAATAAGAAATTACGATGGCAGATGTGAAGAACCCTCCCTGAGGAGCTTCCTGTATTAAATGATGCATTTGTAAAGAAGTTTGAATAGGCAAGGTCAGAGATTTTATAGGGGGCAAACTGTTCGAAGTGAACCTACTTCTCTTTGAAATAAACTATTAGAACTGGTGACCTCTAGAAATATTCTCTAGTAAAATTAATAATTTATGATTCCACAGCTCTGCATAAAGATTTCAAACTACCCAAAAAACACAGCCTTTGTTTTGTAATTCAGGGATTACGCCCACTTTACTCACAACTGAACTGCAGTTACAAAGGAGTTAAGGCACTGCCTTAGGGACCCAAAATCTCCCTTTGGCCTTAGTACATTCTCAGGAGCTCACAGCAGCCGAGAAACCACCTTCTGTCAGCCTCATCTTTGGGTCCTGTCTTTTATGACTCCTCTCAAGTTATACATCAAATCTGCTCCAGAAAGAGCAGATGTTTGCAAAACCAGGACAGTACCCCAATATCCACTCTTAAGCTGGAAAATACCACTTACCAACACAAACTAACTAAAAGAACAAATTTGTAAACAGAAACACACCACAGCCAGCATACCACTGATATTCCCTTCAGTGCTGAAGAGTTCTTTTAATCAGGGACTCAATCCATGCACATGGCAGAATGTGTGGATCACACCATTAGGCTTGAGAGGATGCTAGCCACAGACATTCAGCAATAAGTTCACCGTATAAACATGTAGAAAATGGGAAGACAACATATTTCACTTGAGGTAAGAAAAAAAAAAAAGGGGGAAAAAAAAGAGATGCCACAGCACTGCTAAGCTGTCTGCCAAATGACAGTCACCCAACGTCAATCCTGGACACATAAAAAGCATCCAAGACTGGAGAAGAAAAGCAAGAGCCAGATCTTGCAATAAATATAAAATAACTAGCAATCATACGAATACCCTGTGCTAAACAAAAATCAGATATGTAACACATAATCAGTAAGCATAATTCAATAGCAAGCTTAATTCAAGCTCATTTCAGAAACATACACAGATGTCTTTGAACCTTACCTTTCAGTCTAGGATTTTCTTCCTGCATTAAGTGGTTGGCTGACTACTAACGTTCTTGGTGTTCGACAGAACAAGCTGTCTCGTTCCAGCTTGACTGATAACCAGACTGACACCCATTACTCCCCTCTTTCTGTTTCCATTTTCAATAGTCCCCCAAATAATAACTTTTTCTTTCTTTTAATATTCTGAAATGTCTTCCTTTCCCAAATCAGAACATAAAATGCAGCAGGGAAATAATTATCTGCATCTATAGTACCCAAGTTTTAAAATCATATGCCCAGCATTAACAACACAGAACATTAAGACTCAAATTCCCACAGCAACAACATGCTAACCATCCTCTTCCCCCAGACTTATGGAGCTGCGGGATGTCTGCCAGGGAAAAAGAGAGAAATGTAAAAAGGACTGCAAGAACATGAATACTAAAATAAATATCACAAACCTGGCTGTTAGAATCACAGACTGAGAAAAAGCTATTAAATCAGCTAAGCCATCTTCTTACTGATGGCAGGAACATTCTCCATACATTATTTTTCTGCTGCTTTCTCCAGCACCTATTCAAATGTTCACAGAGCTCTGACCCAAAGCCCATTGTGTACAATGGACACTGCTCCACCATCTTCAGAAGGCTTTGCATCAGGTCATAAACTATGTGGACTGCAACATCTCTCCTGAGGAATTACTGGACTAGCGAGGTGCTTGAACCTAGACATAAATATAAATCCTTTTGATGAGGTCCTAATAAATATTTGTATTAAGATTTTTTACATTTTCAGACTGAAATTTCTTGTATTTTCATCTCACAGCCTTCTTGTATAACTGGCACAATTACTTCCCTTTTACATGAATTTTCCAGCCTATTTATGCAACCTATTTATCTTTTTTTCCATTTCAAGACAATGTTTTATTTTAATCTGACATTTTCACTCACAGATTCTGCTTTATTCTGTTTATCCTTCAGTTCACTCTCATGTCCACTCTCTCGCCACATCTTATTCCATCTTCCCCACTGTTTCTTCCATTATCTACCCTTTGTCTCAAGCCTAAAAACAACGACACTTCTTGAAAATTATCCCAGCAACACAAAATATGAATCTAGACCTGAAAACAACATGGCTCAAGCAGATGTCAATGAAATAACAATTAGAAACCAAGATAAAATACTGATGCTTACGATGATAATAAAAAAGAAGTTATAAATTAAGAGATAAAACTGAAGGAGTTCATCTGTTGAGCAATGAACTTGGGTTACAAAAAACATGGAGGTGAAGAAGCACAACATGGCTATAGCATACCCCAGCAAGAGCTGAAGAGAGGCAGTTGCCAGATTTTGCACTAATAACAGTGAGATAACATAAAGATAGAAGAGGATGCTGGGACTCTCAGAAGTACCAAGATCAGTGGCAAAGAGATAGCTATAGAAAACATGTTAGTTTTGTTCAGAGAGTCTCACAAGCTGGGATTTCGGGAGGCAATGAAGAAATTAAATGTAGTATCAAAGGGGAAAAAAAGAGTTTTCATGCAGCTATAAAACATCAAAGTCATATTTTTTCAGGGAAAGACAGTAAGACAACAGCAGTAAAATATCTTAAAGAAGAGTGTGAGAGTTTGAGATAGACTGCAAAGTGACACACCTGCTTCTCGTGCAAATCTTGGATACTGTTAATCAGAAACTCTTCCAAGAGCTTTATCAAGGGTTCGGGTCTCCCCCTACACTGCTCTTCATAAACTGTCAAATCATCCTTTGCACAGGGCAGTAGACCCTTTATTTAAAGCCAAAAATGTGCTACAGAGTATTCTGCAGCAATGGTCCCAATTGCTACATAACTGCTAGAGACTGGCTTCATTATCACAAATTACCATTTTTATTTTAAGCCCCTCTCCCAGCAAAAAGCCTGTTAGAGACTGACCAGCAATAAATGAACATACTGGAATCAGTAAAGCAATCACTTACTATGAGAAATAGGCTGAAAATGCTGAAGGTTTTTTGCTGTCTAAAATGCCCATTTCAGATACTCCAGATAGAAGACAATCAATGGAATTAGTCTGCTATCTTCAGTTCTGCCATCGGGAAATGAATACTGAAATAATCCTAAAAAGGCATTATTCTGTGGGAAAGGATGAGCCAGGCAAATCACTCTGCAGATGAAAGCCTCTCCAAAGGGATACACTCTCCTCTTCCTTCTCTTCATTTTCTGAAACAGAGTGCAAGTCTTGGCAAACCAA